CAGGAGCCCAGAGTCCTGAGGTGCCCCACACCTAAGCAAAGACTGCCCTGGCACAGGGCCCATCCTAACACCCTGAGGGCAGTCGTGGCTCCAGAGCCTGCTGGACTGTGCCCCCAGCCTGAGGTGCTGCTGCCTGCGTAAGATGCCCCCACCACAGGAGCGCGTTCTTCTAATTAGGTCACATGGGTTGTGGCAGGAAATGCAAATCTGGGTCATCCATATGCAGATGTGTAGCTGGAGTCACCACAGAAGCTGGGGTGTCACCCACCTCCGCCAGGAGCTTTTGGGCCGCTGTGGAGCTGGGCAGCATGGCCTCCAGGGCTGGGCAGACAGTGTTGGGGACTCGCACCAACCTCCCACTCATCACAGTGAGAAGCCGGTGTTCCCAGAGCAAGGACCCTCAGAGGTCACTTCCCACAAGCCCTTCACTCTACCAAAGGAAACTGAGGCCCAGGAGGGGAGGGACCCCACCACATGTCCCCCTGCAGCACAGCTGGCTCTATATCAGACAGGGAGCTTAGGTCCCAGCTCTATCGCTAGCTGTGTGACCGTGCCTTGGTTTCCTTATTTATAAAATGGGATTAATAACCCTTGCTTTACAAGGTTAGGAGATTTAAGTTACAAAATCTGTCTAAGCAGCTGACATAGTAATGGACAGATAGTAGGTGCCTAATACACAACAGCTTGTGGTAATTTTTATGAGTACATGTGATTCTGTCTTGCTGAGAAACTGCTTTGGCTTTTTCTGAATGTGTCTGATTTTGACTGCACCCCTAGAGGTGACAGTGGCTGGGTCACAGAGTCCCGTTGTGCATTAGGCTGTTTTGAGCACATTCTTTGTGTCATTTGACAAACATGCTCCCAGCACCTCCTCTGGGCAGGTCAGACCCTCAGCGCAGGGAGCACAGAAGGGAACTGAGACAGGGCCCGCTTTTGGAGAGGCCCATGGTTGGCGGGGACAAGGGGGACCGGGCAGGGCTCAGTGACTGAAAGAAGCACGGCTGGAGCAGGCAGTGGCAAGCCTGGCTGGCTATGGAGTCTTGAAGGAAACAGTAGAGGAGGATCCGAATTGGGAGGTCACCTTGCACAGAGCAAAGGGTTTAGCGCTGTCGTCCCCAGTCCTGGGGTTAAATCCCAGTTCTGCCATCACCTGCTGCGGGATCTGGAGCAGGTCACTGCTTCCCCTCTGAGCCTCAGTTTCCTGAAATATGGATAGCAATAATGCCCGCTCACAGGATCATCTGAGGACCCAGGGAGATGGCACGTGGGAAGTGTCTGCAGCGTGCCTGGCAGGCAGCGTGCCCTCAATAATGCCTGTTCCTCTCAGGTGGGCGCTCAGTAAGGGACTTGAGCATCTGCGTATTTGGTATCCACGGGGGTTCTGGAACTGATCCCCTGCAGGCACCGAGTGCCGACTGTATGTAGGTAGGTTAACTGCTGTTACTAAGGCATTTACCCGACAGACATCGGCTCGTGGTGGGTAGAATCATCATTTCCCTCCTCCCCCAGTTCTCCTGATCGGTCCCCAGGCAGGAGGGTCTTCAAACCACCCACCATGGGAGATAATTATGCCTCAAGACTTCAAAGTCAAGGTTGGCCCAGCTTTTATCTTGCTGAGGGAAGGAGGCAGCGTGGTTGTGGCCATGAGGCTTGGACTTTCATCTCTTGCTCCCAGCAGGAGGGCGTCCATTGAGCTCCTCCTTGGCATGGAGCTGGGATGCGGCAGCTTAGTGGAAAGTGGGGTGCCTGCCCTGCCCCTGCCTGTCAGTAACAATGACAATGGCCTCTGAGTACCACTATGAGCCCTATCGGTAAGAAACGATCTATGTGGCTGTCTCACGGGATCCGATCTCACAGTGACCCTGTGAGACATGGGCACTTCCATCATCTCCGTTTACTTAGCCACCAGCCAGAGAGCTGCTGAAGGAGGGCTGGGACCCAGGCCACCTGGCCCAGAGCGATGCTCAGAGCCCTGCACTTGGCTGCCATCCACACAGAGGTTCCAAAGGCTCCGTCCAGGGCTGATTGGTCTAAATGTTTGCATTCCAGGTGAGGGAGAGTTCCAGAACAAAGCCCTGTGCCTGGGTCTTCTGCCATCTTGAAGGTTTCTGGCCCAAATCTAGAAGAGGCATTTTCTTTTTTTTGTCTTTTTCGTGACCGGTAAGGGGATCGGACAGATATCGGCTCGTGGTGGGTAGAATCATCATTTCCCTCCTCCCCCAGTTCTCCTGATCGGTCCCCAGGCAGGAGGGTCTTCAAACCACCCACCATGGGAGATAATTATGCCTCAAGACTTCAAAGTCAAGGTTGGCCCAGCTTTTATCTTGCTGAGGGAAGGAGGCAGCGTGGTTGTGGCCATGAGGCTTGGACTTTCATCTCTTGCTCCCAGCAGGAGGGCGTCCATTGAGCTCCTCCTTGGCATGGAGCTGGGATGCGGCAGCTTAGTGGAAAGTGGGGTGCCTGCCCTGCCCCTGCCTGTCAGTGACAATGACAATGGCCTCTGAGTACCACTATGAGCCCTATCAGTAAGAAACGATCTATGTGGCTGTCTCACGGGATCCGATCTCACAGTGACCCTGTGAGACATGGGCACTTCCATCATCTCCGTTTACTTAGCCACCAGCCAGAGAGCTGCTGAAGGAGGGCTGGGACCCAGGCCACCTGGCCCAGAGCGATGCTCAGAGCCCTGCACTTGGCTGCCATCCACACAGAGGTTCCAAAGGCTCCGTCCAGGGCTGATTGGTCTAAATGTTTGCATTCCAGGTGAGGGAGAGTTCCAGAACAAAGCCCTGTGCCTGGGTCTTCTGCCATCTTGAAGGTTTCTGGCCCAAATCTAGAAGAGGCATTTTCTTTTTTTTGTCTTTTTCGTGACCGGTAAGGGGATCGCAACCCTTGGTGTGGTGTCG